TATAAATATGTAGTATTCACTTGTATTTTAGGGTACTTATGTTCAGTTGAACAGTTACCCAAGCACGGTTTTTAAAAATTGAGATGTGTCTATAACCCATTGGCACATTTTTGGATTAATAAACCAGTCTTCATAATGGAAACAAGCTAGGGCCACTTTATATTAATTATATGTATTTAGTTTTGTCATGTAAAAAATGGTAACACAGGTGGTCATTACATAGGAATGAAAATATTACAAAGGTCTTAGAAATAATTCTGTACAGAAACTTCTGAAAGACTGGATTTGGAGTTTTGTTTTTTTAAAACTGGTTCTTGCTGTGTCACTTCATGAAACATTGTCATTCTAGGTTGCAGTAGTGTCATTTGAAAGTATCTTAAAATATCTTCCAATTCTAGGTTTTTTTGTTTGCACAACATAAACACTGTAAATTTCAGAAATATGTTCATTGTTCCTGAGCAACTACTGTGAGTTAAGCCCTGAAGGTAAGATGGAGGACATGATTCTTGCATGGGTGCTGGTGGCTCACGCCTATAATCCTAGCTACTCAGGACGCAGAGATCAGGAGGATCATGGTTCAAAGCCAGCCCAGGCAAATAGTTTATGAGACCCCATCTCAAAAGTATCCATAACAAAAAAGGGCTGCCGGAGTGGCTCAAGTGTTAGAGCACCTGCCTAGCAAGTGTGAGACCCTGAATTCAACCCCAGTACCACCAAAATAATAACAATAATAATAGTAACAGAATTTTCCTATTCTAGGTTAAAAAATCTTTTACCTCTTTGGTTTTCACTTATTGGTCCTAGTTCTCACCCAGTGCAACTTTGGAATACAAAATAAGCTATTTCCCTTGTAAGCATTGGGACTGTCATTTCCTATAGTCTGGGTCAAGCATCTGCTCATATAAGTTTAACCTTTAAAAGAAAAATAGTCTCATACTACACTTTGCTCACCTTAAGGTAGTGTACAATTAAAACTCCAAGGACATAGTGTTACAAAATAATGTCAGTGCTGTTATCATATTAAAATGATTGATGTAGAATGGTTACTTATCCCATTTTACCTCATGTTCTGAACAAACTTCTACCCTACTGAGATTTTTTAAATCATATTTCAATTGTACTATTCAATCCACTAACAATTTCTTGTGTCTTCAGTAGAGATAAGCATGCCTTCTATGTCTTTATCCTAGTCAGTAATGCAAATGTAGTCAGGAGCTGGTTTGGGCTATAAGAGAGGGGAGAGGGGAGATTACATATCAGCGATGACATATCAGGAAGAGTTAAGTCATCTCTCACACAGCAAGCAAAAAAGCAGATAGTTGGTAGAGAGTTCGGGGCCAATGTGGCAATTCAATAGTATCCATATTCCAAGAGACTATCTTCTGCATAAAGTGCTTTCTTCCTCAAAGTCAGCTCACTTCAGAAACTCACTGCAGCACCAGCTATGAATGCATGTTCGCTGCTGCGTGCATTGTGATATTTCAGGCAGGGAAGAGTGGGGAGTGGAAAAGATCAACCCAATGTTTTTAAATTTTCCCAAAGCATTAGCCAAAGTATCTTGTGGTGTGATAAGATAGTCACATGGCTACCGACATGCAAAGAACACTTGAAAACACACTTTTTTTAGCTGGGTACATTGCCATCCTTAACAAAATTAAGGCTGCCTTAGGTGGAGAGGAGTATATATAAGGTAGGTGAGAGATAGGAGAACCAAGGGGAACACAAAATTATTTATCCAAGAAATAATGAACTCTCAAGTACGAGGGATCTATGGGGGATACAGGGATATACCTTACCACCAAATTATCTTAAGATAATTAGGAGCAATCTGCCCTAGGAAGATTGATGTATCAGGTTTGCTTCCACAGAGAGTCAAATCTCAAGTTACTGCACCCTTCTTTATGAAAGATACTTTATGGATGAAAGCTCTTGGCTATCCTAGTGATTACTACTTGTGTTAGTAATGGGGCTAATGATCATCAGTTAAATGACACTTCATAGCAATGATGTAGCATTCGTATTGCTTGATATTTATCCCTGAGTCCCAATCTGCATTGAAGGGTTTGATAGTGGCCTTTTCCTAAAGAGTAAGAATCTGGGGTCCACTTCTTCAGCCTCCTCTTATTCTATACAAACAAGTAGATTTATCCCCAGTTCTATACTGCTGCCATTCTGTCTGTTTCTACTCTGACAGGAGGTACTAAAGTCTGAAAAAATATCAGGATAAAAAACTATTAGTCGAAATTATACATCATATACTGTATATATTTGCACAATATTTTCCTTTTCTTTTTTAATAAATTTAGGGCTGGGAATATAGCTCAGTGGTAAAGACTTTTCCCAGCATGCACAGGGCTCTGGATTCAATCCCAGTGCCACAAAAAAGGGCACTTTTAATAATAAAAAAAAAATAGAATGTTGAGATCCCTCCAAGCTTGCCCCCTGTATGCACAAACATTTAAACACACATAAAAGGGAGATTATAAAGGGCAGATAAGAAAGATGTATCCTTTTTCCCATTATACAGGGAAGAATTTTATGAAGAATGTGGTAAGGGGACTCTCTCAGTTACAAGATACAGAAATCTAATTTGAACCAACTTTAACCAAAAAAACCAAAATCTTTCATATAGGGGGTCAGGGTGGAGCCAGGCTCGGGGGCAGCAGGACTGAAGAATTCAAATGCCTTCAACTCCTCTGTCCCCTTCATAGACTCTGCATTGGAACCTCAGCCACTTGCAGCTGTGGGAAATCTTTTTGTAACAATGTTTGGAAAAAATTCCTTACCAACTCCAGTTAGAAAAAACCCCTGTTGTCACCAGTAAACTCTGTAACCAGAAAGTGCATAGGGGCAGCACCTGAGCATTCAAGACACCAGTCCATCTTCACCTACATGTTTTTTAATGGAAATGGACATTTTCTTGATCAGGAATTAAGTATTAAATCTTGGAAGGTACATAGAGCAGTGTCAGACTCCCAGGTGCCCAATAAATTTTGGTTAATTTGTAAGAGAAAATAAAAGTAGTGCAAAATAACTAACAATTTATATTAATTAAATGTTTTGGGTCATTGCTGGCAGCAAAAACCTTCAAAATGTTCTTCTTTTGAGAAGCTCGTTTTGTGAGTTAAGGTAGTGCCAACAAGATTAGAGTAAAAATCACTCACTTGATATTTAAACAGCTTTATTTCTATTTCCTTGCTCACATTACCTTTGAGTTTCTTCTCTGTACTAAATAGGAAAGCAAGGGGTGCATACGTCCAACTAATCAGACCTGTTAGTTTAGGTAGAGCTTATCATAACTCATGGGAAGAGACTGAACTCCCCAAAGACATTTTTGGTAGCAAACTCATCCTCAGACTGAAAAAGCTCCTTGCTCCCACTTGGGATCTTTGCCTGAAGCCATATTTTCTAGATTCCATACTATGAACTGCTCTCAAAAACCTTTAGCTCTTTACTCACCTGTTAGTATAAAAAATCCATGGTTACCTGCACTTGTGAAGACTATTTATTTTTATGTTAAATGGGAAAGTATATTGTTGTAAGCTCTTTTAAGGGATCCGTGGTATCACTTGAAAGAAGAAATCCCAAAATTTACCTTTCTTTCTGTTGTGCAGAACATGGCCTTTAAGACAAAGATTCTGACCACCGTTGGTGACATGGTCTGTAGACTGCATAATGTCCCAAATAACCTTCATTGTGCATGAATTGTAATGAGACATTTTTATTCTAAGGAGGTCAGGGCATGGAAGGCATGAATGACTGGTTTTAGTTAAAACTGCATTTTACACTGACTTTCCATTAAGAAATTCCCATGGCAGAACAAGTTTTGAGCTCTCTTTACCAAGTGGTTTTGCAAATCTTGTTCTAAAATTGTCAGGACAAGATTTTTTTCCCACAAAATAACACCATCCTCAGTACAGCCAAGTACAGATATCAATGGCAACCCAATAGCATCACAAAGTATTTTTATTCTGGAGAAATAAGTATATGTCAGAGTTCTAAATTCAAAGAGAATATATCTGTGATTTTTTAAATAAAAAAGTAAAAGAAAGTTAACTTTTACATTATATACTTCACTGTAACAGCATAGTATGCATTTATTATCTGTCCTAGAAAGAGATGTGCTATTAAATTGTAGGCAAATCATGTCACATTTATGGTACATTGTGAATTCCTCTTAATAAGAAGAGTAAGGGTATAAAAAGTGGAAATTTACAAAGTATTTCAATGTTCTTATGATTCAAGAGGAGTGTGGAGTGATAGTCAAGTGATTTCCTGTGGCCTCCCCTAGGGCTTATCAGTGTGTTGCTTTCTTTGGGACCTTCCTCCTTCCCCCATTCCTTCCTTCCACCCACCTCCAATCTCCCCACCCCATTTCTGACCTTACCCTTTTAGACATCTGCTGGCTCAGGCTTAAATAGGATACCTCCTAGTAGCATTTGTATTTAACTTGAAAATCAAATAAATGATGGCTTTCTTCCCTTTTCCCTAGTCCAATTATATACAAGAATGCCTAAACTGCAGAGTCATGGGCTTTCTCATTGGACTTGCTTCTGTGTGCTTTCTCTCTCTATAAGGACTGGGGAGCATTGAGTGAGTGGGCCCTTGGATGCCACTCCAAGGAAGATTATCAGAGCCTCCAAGACCCTGGAATATACCACATTTGTCAGAAGGGTAACTTTTTTATATTATCCAGTTCATTGTGCATGAATTGTAATGAGATAGTTACAAAAACCCTGAAAACTGGTATAGAGTTTCTTTTCTACAGATCTAAACTCTTGAAAGAATGCTATTAGTTATATTTCTTTAGACTAATTTGTAATTAATTAATTTAAAATTTTATTTATCCAGAAAAGAGAACCCTACAACAAAACAAGGAGTCCTCACAACTGAGAGCATGCTGAAAAAAAATTTAAATTCCTCCCAAATGATACTAAAACCTTTGGTTTTCTAACTGAGTTTACGTCTTGCTTAGGAGGGATGCAGCAGGTTTTATTTGTTTAATCCTCATCTCGTGTGTCATAAAGTAGCTTTTCCTCAGGTTTCTGGAGTGTGTCTATGGCCAAGCTTGAGTGATGATTGTGGAGTAGGGAAGGGACACCTGTCTCACCACATTCAACATATCTGAGGTTGTAGTCCTCACATACTGAGGAATTTAGTTTTTTAGAACATTTTTGGAGACAGCACTTTATAAAGCATTTAAGAACCAAAAAGCTCAGTTCAATGAAATTCAACACAATGCACAAGCATGAAGCAATGACCAAGAAGAAGATGAAGACAGTTTTCTCAGTGGGTTTGGAGACAAAGCAGTCCACAGTGTTGGGACAAGGTGTCAAATCACACTTCATAATGTAGGGAACACTAAAACCACCGTACAGCTTATAAAATAAAAGAAGAAAGCCAATTTCAAAACCAGTTTTAACAATAAGACTGATCAGATAAGTGTACCATAGGCCCCCATCCATGGTGCCTGGGCTAACATAGAGTTTCCTTCTGTGCCTTCTCTCTCTACCTTCACGATAGGCTACATGTAGAACCACCAGGAGAGAAGGCGTGGAGACCATAATCAGTTGTAAGGCCCAAAGTCTGATCTGGGAGATAGGGAAGAAGTAGTCAAAGCATACATTTTCACAACCAGGCTGTCTAATGTTGCACTCAAACTCTTTCTGCTCATCCTTCCACACGTGCTCTGCTGCTACTATGTAGACTAGCAAACGGAAGATGAACACAACAGCCAGCCAGATGCGCCCGATCCCAGTGGAGTATTTATTCACTCCACTTAGGAGGTCTCTGAGGAACATCCAACTCATGACTTAGGCTCACAAGAAGGCAAGAGTCTGCAAAAGAGAACAATTCGTCATGATTTCATTTCTATTCCATTGATCATTTCTACTGTTGTAAAGAATCGTAGAAGAAAAACTCCAAAACATCATACAACTGGTCCATGGACATTTTTATTTGGAATTTGGTTGGCCATTCCCACCACACACACACACACACACACACACACACACACACACACACACACACATACACAATCCCATTTTGAAACAATTCTGTGATTGGTAAAATCTTTGTACTTTATTCTTTCCCTCTAAAGATGGATGGATTATGTTACTGATCAGGAAAGAATTAGATCTGAATCCCAAGTTGACCCTGGTACCTTGAGTTGTCCTTCACATGGTAGGTTGTTGAAGATGTCATCTCTAACACTTTCTCTAATTTGTTACTATCTCTCTCCGATCTTTCTGAGATTTTTCCTGCCCCTGTCTTCTCTCATTCCCCATATCCTACACAGCTGCTGAGCTTTCCTACAATTTGATAATGAAAGGTGAAGCTCTCCAATATGAATTTCCTGAACTGTTGCTCCCTCTGTCCCCAGACTGACTTACACCCACACCAGCTCATCTTCTTTACCTACTTTCGAGTGAGAGATTTCCTTTTTTGCCTCAAAATAATCATTTCACCTTTACATCCCATTTGTAATTTGACTGTTTTCTCTGTTCTATACTCTGTATTTTCAACCTCTTCTATCCCCTTCCTCAGCCAACAAAATGCTTATGTTACTTACTTTTAATAGGGGGGAGGAGGATCCACATAGTTTACCTTTCTAACAACTTCCCTTTCTTCATCCTCAATTTCTACTTCCTCAACAGTTACTCCTCAACTCAATAAGTCTAGTCTTTGTGTTCAGCATTGTACTTACCTTATACTAAAGTTAGCACTATCACTCAACTACTAAATCTTCTAGATGCTATAGATCTTGTTTAATTTTTCTGTGCCGCTTGACACTCTAGCTGCTCTTGACTTCATGCTACTTTACCTTCTCTTTCTGTTGCTGTGCGCCCCTTGATTGTGTCATCTGTTTTCTTTGTCCCATCCTTAAAAATGTTCTGTCTGCTACTGTTTTCTCACTTTGCATGCTCTCCCTGGAAAAAATCTCATTCTGTGGATTCAGGTGCTGCTTTCAGGTTCTATCAGACCTCTGTATCCCAGTACTTCTGACCATCAGGCATCCCAAACCTGGCCTGTCTAACATTGAATTTGTTATTTTCCTGCCCCCTGTCTTTATTATCTTATTGAAGGGTATCCCCAATAGCCAAGCACCTAAGAAATCTCCTATTCATTTGGACACCTTTCTCATGACCCTTTTATTAATTGCCTACGAAGTTCTGATTCCATCTAAACATCTCTCAAGTTCATCTCCAAGTCACTGTTATAGTCACATTTGTAACCTTCCCACTACTTCCTATTTCCACCCTCATCTTCTTCCCTCTCTTCCTAGTATGTTCCCAGTGCTGGTTGGTTTTCTTACACCTCTCTTGAGCTCTTGTTCTTTTCATTATAAAAGCTAACAGGAAGCTGGGGCAGACATTGGCTTTCTGGTACTGTCTGTGCCTATCTTGTTTTAAGGATTGAACCTGACTGGATGAGCCCTGATTTTTATTGGGCCTATCATATGCTCAGCACTGTTCAATGCTTTTCAGTTGGTCTTTCACAGCCATCCTGAAAGCTAGGTTTCATTTGATTATTTGTCTGCTTGTTTTATGGTGATGGCAGTTTTGTTCTTTCAAATGAGGAAGTCAGCCCTGAGAAATGAGTCACTTTCCCAAGGTCATAAAGTAAAATGCAGACAGGGAGAACTCCACGCCTGCCACTAATTCATTTTGTGATTTCTCAGGTGAAAAGTTTGCCTTTAAGGTTCTGTTTCTTATTGCAATAATTACTTTTTATTTTCTCCATAGAGTCAGCCAAAAAAGTATCATGGAAATGGTGTTGTGAAGAGATCCAGGGGGATAAAAAAAAAAAAAAACAACTGGGATCTTGTTGCAGCAGCACTCCTATTGGAGCCCATTACATTATCTCTTACGAGGGAATAATGTGGGGCAAGCCCACACACTAGAAGCCTAAGAAGACTAATTAAGGTTAAAAGGTATTTTCAGAGAGAACAAAGATACATGCACACAATGCTCTATTCAGCAGAGAATGAATACTTCAATGTCCTTGGTTTTCAGAACACAAACAGAATTGTATTAAGTAAAAAGTGTTCCTAAATCTATCTGAAAGGTTAATGTTTTTATGAATTATTGAAGCAAAGCCCCAAAGATTAAAAAGGAAAACAAAAGATATTATGTTTCCCTATGACATGTCATTGGGTATTTGTCCATATTACTCAAGAGGACATTTATGTAATGTTATAAAACATTTTAAAGAACCCTGTTGGACATTTTAGAAAGGAATGAAAGTAAGAGTATATCCAGATTGCATTGCTAAAAGAAAAGCAGTGGGAAAGCAATTGACCTTTGAATAGAATCAAAGGACTGGTGCCATCAAATGCCAGATTACTTTTACTTGACTGATAAATGCCCATCCTATTTTAGATTCTTTGCCGATAGAAAGACAGGCTTTCTCATGGTGGAAAGGTGTTCTAACATTTTTTTCACTTTTAAGGAACTGGTTTGAGAGCCTGGATGCAGTGGTGGATGCCCTGGTTTCACGTGAACTCAGTGATGATGTTAATAATATGAACCCTACTTTCTGGGCCTTGTGCGGCTTTCATGAGTTAGAAGGAGTAAAACCCTCAAAACAGGTATGACATAGGGTTGGTACTCAATATGCATCACCATTATTTTCTTATTTTGCCACTGAAAACTTTTTTCTTGGTGTCAAAATGAAGCCTTGCCACTTCATAAATTTAATAAACACTAATTTAGTTGCAATGATTTAATACAGATTAAATGTAAGTGGTTAGTGGTGCAGCTCAGTGGTTGAGTGCTTGCCTAGCATGTGTGGGAGCCATGGCTTTGATTCCCAGCACTGCAAAAAATCTGTATTTAATGCCAAAAAACATACTTTTTCTCTTCCATTAAAGGCAGATAACAGTCAGGAATCTTCATATAATAGTCTTATAAGCATTTTGAATTCATTAGCTCAGTGTTTTTATCTCTTAATAATTCCAGGTTCTCCCCATATTTTTAATAAAGGTCTGTAACTCATCCTTTTTCTTAAATTTCCAAGGATCACTCTTAGTTTTTAAAGAGACTTTACTTTTCAATTTTTTTTTTCTTGTTCGTAGTGCTGGAGATCAAACCTGGGCCTCACCCATGCTAGGGCAACAGCTCTGTCACCGAGTCACACCACTAGGCTCTCTGCTTACCAATTCCAGCCAACAAACCCTCCCATGATTTTCTCCTATCTCTTAAGAAGTAGCAGTTTGCGTCATAGGAATTTCATTTAGAAATTCAATTACACAAACATAGAAAGTAAAACATTTTATTTTTTTATTTTTATTTATTTATTTGGTGGTACTGGGGTTGGAAACTCAGGGCCTCACACTTGCTAAGCAGGCACTTTACTGCTTGAGCCACTCCACCAACTCTGTTTTGTGTTGGGTATTTTTGAGATAGGGTCTCGAGAGCTATTTGCCCTGGGCTGGCTTTAAACTGTGATCCTCCTGATCTCTGCCCCCCAGTAGGTAGGATTACAGGCGTGATCCCCCAGCATCCAGCAGAAAATCAAGCGTTTTAGAAAATAAAATATTCAAAATTCCCAATATCAAGAATAATTTAGAAAAATTGCAAATTTCTCCCAGACATTTGACCTAAATTCAAGGTGGGAGTGAAGAAAAGGTACTTGAATGATTGGACTTCCAGGTGTAAAAGATTGAAGTCGGACCCTCCCTCACACCATTTACAAAAATTCAAAATGAATTTACAACCTAAATATAAGAACGAAATCCAGGCCGTCTGCAGCAGCTCAGAAGCCATGGTGGCCTCCCTAGCTGTCTATGAGTTCTCTTCAGGGCAAATTATGTAAGGATCGGTCCATTACTAGGGGGAGACAAATATAGAAATAAATACTATGAGGACAGTGAGCAATTTCTTGGGTCCTGTATACTGCTGAAACAAATGTCACAATCTCAGTCTGGGATGTGGATGGAAGCATGGTGTCTCCTGAATAGCATCAGTGGCTTTGCTGCATGACTGATGACCCTCCAATAACAAAACCACTTACTGCTCATAAATTCATTTGGACAAACCATAAATTCAATGTGACTGGCACTCCAGAATAGTATGTACCTTACTCCATCACCAGAAAGAAGATTCAGGAATGGGGCCCACTGAACACCTTACAAATAAAGACAATGAAAACCATCTTCAACATGGAAAATACAGAGCTTCCTATGTATTACATTTTTACTACTTACCATTAACTTGAATAAAATTGTTTGGCCAAGCCAAAGAGAGAGAGAGAGAGAAAGAGAGAGATTGAGAGAGAGAGAGAATGAGAGAGAGAGAGCTAAGTCCATAAGATTCTTAGAAGAAAACAGAACCAGATTTTCATGATCTTGAATGAATGTCAAATTCTTACTTTGATGTTAATAATTATAAGCTTACACTCTTGTGTCTACCAACATTCACCAATACCCATTTTGGTCAGATGGTTCGTCCTCCCAAGGCTCCCATTCTGTGTACGTGATTGTACTTGCTCATACTGCTCTCCCCCTTCTCTACTTTCAAGTCCTCCTTCCTCCTCACAGTTTTCCAAATTGTGATTTTCCCTTCTTCAGATTCTACAGTGCCCATACCTTAGCACATATTTACCCCTTGATGATATAACATCTTTACTAATTTCATGTATTGCTTTTTTCTCCTCCAAACAATTTATATGTTGCTTGGAGTAAGAGACCATGTTTTCTATTTATTTCATGTCATCCAAAGTGCTCAGTTTAAAGTAACTGTTTAATAAATATTAACTATATTTAGCTACAGAAGCAATAAAATTGATCCTCAGGTGAAATATTTAATCT